CCGCCGCGCGTTCCCCCTGACCACGCCCCCTGAGATGCGCTTGTGTTGCGTACGCCGGGCGCGTGCCGCTCCTGCCACTGAGTAAACAACTTCTCGTAAAGAATGACTAGAGGTGTTTTTCGGTTATGACCAGAGGCGGACAAAGTACACAACTCCATTACTTAAGTGAAAGTACAGATACCGCTGGTCAAATATTACTCCATTACAAGTAAAAGTTGTAAAGACATATTTTTACTTAAGTAAAAGTACAGAAGTACTTGCTTTTAAAAGTACGTAAGTACCAAAAGTAAATGTCCTTTGTCAATGCACTGTTTTGTAATGCACATTGTAATACTTGCAATACCTCTGAAGCAACTTACAATACATTACACCTACTGAATACACTGACTATACTTGTAGTATCTTTGGAATACAGAACTTTTAGAATGTTAAAAACCTATGGGGGAAAAAAAAATATTATAATTATTTAACACCCCTACCCACCCCCACAAAAGCAGGATGGTAGTGATCTCACACAGCTCTGGACACATCTATGTGTAGCCATTCATCCACATTTGAACAGAGTGAATCGCTCTCGCTGTACTTTGATGTCACACACAGAATGGTCTGCAGTGCTGCTTCAGTCGAACACCTTTTGTGTTTTATTAGGAGACGCACAAAAAGTACAGATACTCAAAAAGTGTACTTAAGTACAATACTCAAGTAAATGTACTTAGTTACTGTCCGCCTCTGGTTATGACAAGTGTTTGTTGGAGAACAACACACGCACACACTCAACTTCGAGCTGCATTAAAGGCATCCTGTAACCTTGTAAAAATTTAACAACAGCGCGCTTCGATTTTTCTTTAGGGCGCTTTGAGAAATGAGTAATTAAACTTGAGATTAATCATTTTAAAACACGGAAAAAAACTTGAGTAAAATATAAGAATGATGCACGTTGACTGTATTTGCAGCTATATGTATAAGATATATATATATTCAAAAGATCATGAAATTGTTCAAATTTTATGATAATGGCAGTATAATGAATAGAGAAGACTAGTTTTCACAATTAGCCTAAATCTGCCATTAAACAGAATTAACAGAAAAAAAACAATAAAAAAAGTTCATAAACGCAACACAATTCATAGAAATATAAAAAGGTAAGATAAAATATCTAACCGTTTGCCAACAAATAACGTAATTAATAACATTTAAAACATGTGACAACATGTCCCAACTTGGCATTTATGAAAAAAGAGGTGTAGTTTGGAGGACAGAGGGTTTTAAGTGTTTGAAGTCAACATAGTTTGTTTGTGAAAATATGCCCAGCCCCGGTGTACCACATTATTTAATCACATACGAATCCTGCTATACTAAGCCTCCTAAAATGTCGAACATCATCTTATCAAAAAGATCTTAACAAATATAGCAAATCATTTGTAACAGCTGCCGTGGTTAAGACGAATCCATTCAGAGGTAAATAAACTCATTCAAAGCACTTTGCTTTCATTGGACTCATGTGTAGTTTGGTAATGAATTAACACTTGTCACAACTGTTATACTGTTAACGTGTTACAGCCATATAATATTGTTCCATATAGGGAATCTTTGTCCGGGCAAGATGAATTTGGCCAGTCGTTATTAGAAATCACAGCTGGAAAGGTGGAACGGATTATTTTGTGGACGCGCATTAAGAAAAGCTCCTGACACCTTATTCACTCTATTTACTTACAGTATATCTCTCGATTAATTTCGCCTCTTTCATAGCGCACGATAATGGCACATTGCTTTCAACCAACTTTGTTTGAATGACTTTGCCTGCGCCAGTTTTGTGTGTGCGCGAGATGCATGTGGAGTGGAGAGGGAGGGGGGCAATAAATTGTGTAATTTCTCTTGGTTGGCTGAGGCATTCAAGATTAGACCATGCAGCATTCAATCACCCAGCCCCCTCCAACTTTCCTTTCTCTCCCTCTCTCTTTTCCCCCCTTCTCCTCTTTTAGCGCAGCAAGGGCGTTTAGAAAAGAAGCGTGGGTTCTATTCACTCCGGCTGGGACTCTCTGAAACATATCCACCATGCTCAGTCAGTGCATTTGCAGAGTCCAATTAGCGTTTTGTAAGCCCCTCTTTCTTTCATGATACTCTGGGATGAGGGAAGGTTCCAATCATTCCCGATTTTAATAATTAATATGACATCTGGGCGTCTGAACTTCTATTGAAACATATTACTATAACAACTCGTAGAGCTGCTGTAAAATAATAAAAACAAAACAACTCCATACAAAGCTGCTTGTTTTCTCCTACAAGCCCGGGTTTGCTATGCAGGATTATATTTCAATTCGTTAGCTGTTAAAACTACATGGTAAAGGGACTTTTTTTAATCATTTCAATGACTATTCATTGGTGCGCTTTTGAAAGCAGGTGTGTGGCGTTTATGCACTGCTATTTCTGAACGTTAGTGGATGAGAGTGCGTTTGCGCAGATGAGACGATCATGTTCGTGAATAAACCGAACACAGATTATTCCTTATTAACTGTGTGAACTTGCTTTACATCGTGCATGAGCGTAGAAGTGAGTGAAAGCCTAAAGCGCACGATCCACTGAAGTCATGTAGTAACAGTACAAGACAATCTGGGCTACAAGCATACACTTACTGCACATATTCGTATATAAACATATTTCTATATTTACACATAATAACAAACAAACAATAGAGGATCTACGGGGTTTGCAGTTACTGTGCTCCAAAAGAGGATTTTCTTATATTAAAGAACAGTTCAATAACCTGACGAACTCTTTTTCTACTACAAAGAGCGGTTAGTGCAGTGGAAAGATTCCATGGATGGAACCATTGATGCCAATAAAGTAGCTATTTTTAAGTGTTTTAGGGGCTAAATCATTTAGTATCGTACCTTAAAACAACGCAAATGACAAATGACCAGAACTTCTCCCACTTTGGCCCTGCATGTATTCAATGTATTTAAAAGTACATACTTTAAATAAAGTGGGAATGTATGTTTTTCAATTGTGTTATAGACCCCTTTAAGTAAACTTTAAGAATATAAGCAATATATTTAACAATATAAGGCAAAGGCCAGATGTGTTATACCAGCTGTTGATTCGTTTAATTTAGCTTGAATATGTGCGTTAGCCACCAAGCCTTGATCTGGTTTTGTGATAATTTTTCAATACAGAGGGAGTCTACTGTATCCTAAACGTACCCTACCTGAAAACATCTGCAGGCGTTGAAGAGGAATGGTGTCCAGATGTTCAGTGACGAGTCTTTGCTGTTGTGCACTTTGATAGGACTTCAGTTCTTTATAGATCACATAGAGGTTTGGTCATGGGCCTATACTCCCTGTGTAAATAGACATCCATGTACAATATTGTCATATCATATCCAGTGATCACAAATTAATCTAATGCCAAAGTAAAGTCATTTCAGTATTAGTAGCCTAATTAAATGAATAGCGTCTTTTTTTCAGTTTATGGTATTTTTGTACGTTTACTCTTGTCCTACTTATCTTTAGCCATTTAAATGGTGAGCCTATGTCCAATACATTCAGGAAAAATGTTTTTGGATAGTGGAGCTAACAGGATAGAATAGATGGTTCATTAATTGTGTATAGACACCAACTGCCATCTAGTGGTGAAGTCATGAATGGTTTGTATAAGCCTAAGCATAAGGTGTGAGTGCAGACAGGTGTCAATACATTGATTTAACTTAACACAAATGAAAATATGGATTTAATGGTAAAGTCATTTCAGTATTAGTAGCCTAATTAAATGAATAGCGTCTTTTTTTCAGTTTATGGTATTTTTGTACGTTTACTCTTGTCCTACTTATCTTTAGCCATTTAAATGGTGAGCCTATGTCCAATACATTCAAGAAAAATGTTTTTGGATAGTGGAGCTAACAGGATAGAATAGATGGTTCATTAATTGTGTATAGACACCAACTGCCATCTAGTGGTAAAGTCATGAATGGTTTGTATAAGCCTAAGCATAAGGTGTGAGTGCAGACAGGAGTCAATACATTGATTTAACTTAACACAAATGAAAATATGGATTTAATGATCACATTTGCTGAGTCTATGAACTAAATGCAGACTATACCTTGTCTGTTGTATGTTAATAACCTTTTCAAGGGTGTTTGTCCTCCTCCTAATTGAACCACACAAAGGTAGTCAAAATTAAAGGCAAAGTTGTAAAGTATATAAAAGTAGGACTACATATTTCGCTGGTGTTTGAATAACGTTTCGTTAAACACAAAAGTTAAATTAGGAAGTAAGAAGCGTATTTTTACCTGACGACAAACCTGCTAAAATTGCAGTCGCCCTGAGGATGTAACCATAGCAACAGTAGGCCTACGCTACTTGCACGTTTCTGTTGCGACCCATCATTACCAGAGCCGTTGATAAAACATTTACAACAAATAAATAACAAAATGTTAGTGTTTGTTTGGAAATTATTTGACATAATTAACGGTTAGCTAACTGTGCTAGAGGCGCCACATGACATTTTGCGTCCCGCGAGATAAATTTCAACAGATTACGCAAGAAAAAATAATGTCAATAAAAATCATCTTAAAAGTACACCTCTCTATGAAATCAGTGTATCCGTGTATAATTTTGACACTGTCTGACACAGTCGCACACCTGGACCCAGTCCCAGTTAACTTAGCTATATTTAGCGCCATCGTGTGGTCATAAACAGAATATGAACATATGGATAGTGACGATTATTATTTATAACGGGATCCTGCATCTGTTTTTCTAATCTTGAACACTCAATCCCTTCTACTTAAAAAAAAAATTATAAAATAAATTAATCTACTAATAAAACCATTACATCAAGTAGAAGAAAAACAAAACTGCGAAGTAGGCTAATCGTTACGAAATGCTGACTTTGAACTCCTCCATCCTCACCCAAAACTCCCCCTGCAAACTCTTTCCCACTGGACAACACAAACCAGATGCGCTGTGGCGCAGCTTCCAAATATCCCAGAGGTCTATGGGCATCTCGTCGCGTGACATGCACACGGGCCGTTCAGGGGGTGTGGTGTCACGAGGTACTTTTAAATGGCTGGAGTTTTGGATGGGCAACACAAAGTGCACACAAGCATTCAGCAAATCGACATCACCTGAGAACTGAAACAAGAATGGACGCAGGTTTCAGACAGATGAACGGGAATCTGGAGAGAAAGGTGAACCATTCTCTATTTTTTTTTTTTTATGTTTTACTATAAAAAAAAATTGTGATTATATTAGTATAACAGTTTATATTATTTTAAATCTATTTAAAAATATTTTATAGCATTTCCCCAACACTAGACAAGAGTAAAGACATGCAGACTAGGATGCAAAGTAGTATTGGTTACGTAATGCAGAAAAGTCAAAGTGAAAATTTTGTGTGAACCTACAATTGTTCAATGACAATCCAGCTCATTCTTATTATTGTTAAACCTGACTGGAAATTTCTCTCCAGACCACAAAACGAAGTTCAACATACTAGCTATAGCATCAACTGAAAGACTCTAATTTGTTACAACTATATATCACTGTATGGAATCTAAGTGGTTAATAATACATTAATTGCTGATTGTTTTACTTTCATATTTTAGATGTCCTGAGGTGTATTTTTACATTACTTTTTGTTCTTTAAAAAGTATTATGGCAAAGTATGGGTGAAAGTTATGACACTGACACCTGATTCACAGGAATGTGAGTGTGACTTTGGTCATGAGTTTTAAAGTCCTTCTGCTCAGTCACACAGATTTTTGAAGCTACATTAAGGTCTTGCAATAGTTTTCATACCAAGTTAAGGATATTTATTAGAGCCCTAAACCTACACAAACCTGCTGACATTATTCAGTTTGAAGCAATATATGATCGTTTTGTGATTTATGGGCATTTATATTTCAATTAATTTCCATAGAGGGAAACTACTTGCCTTGAAAGTTACTTATCAGAGGTTTAGTTTTGCTAATGTGTAACAGACAGTGTTGCATCCTAAAAAAAAAGTCAAATAAAAATACACGCAGTGAGTGGATTCCCAAGCAGAGATTCATGGGTCCCTTAGCACTATGAGAAAAGATGAACTAATATTCATTTCAAAAACCATTTCAAAGAAAGAAAGGTGGACACTAATTAAATAAAAATTGCAAAGCAATGAAAATTAAATTTTAAATGACAGTTATGCACTCATTTGATGCATGTTGATGACGATGAGTGCAATTGTGTGAGTGTCTTGACATTTGTTTGTTTAACAGGGCTCTCTGACCTCATCCTACCTGGAGGAACCATTAAATAAAACAGGAGTGGTGTCCTGCATCTTCTCTTTGAAGCAGGAAGTTGGCGCTCTTGTAAAAGCTCTAAGACTATTTGAGGTTAGTGTCTTGACACAAAACATTTGTATTGCATCATTTGTCCCTTTTCACAGTCTCTTTGTATGGTTGTATGTCTATTTTTCTCTCTCACGCTCTCTCTCTCTATATACACTTGCATTTATCTGAAGCCAAAACATGGGGGTCAAGGACAGCAGATGTTAGGGGTAGATTTGTAGAAATGCAAAACAGGACTATATTTGTATTTGCAGGGGATTAGGTAATACTGTGCACATGGTGTAACTTCAACAGAAGTAATGAAGTTTGCTGGATGACGCATTTTGTAACATGGAGGAAGAGTACAAATTTTTCATATACATATACTTACCAGCATTGTTGCAACACAAAGCTGGTTGAAAATCAATGAACTTGTCTTTAATGGTGATTTTGTCACCAAAATCACCAAAAATTATCACATAAAAAAAAAAAAAGACTAAATGCAAATGAAAGCTTCTGTCACTTATAAAAACATGGTATATTAATTTCATCTGAGATATGAATGCTGAAAGATAATACCTCAGGAGAGGAAGCTTCATGGGGAAAAAAGAAATAAATGTGTACTTTTATTCAGCAAGATGCATTAAATGATTGAAAAAGGCTGTTCTTTCTGAATGTTGTTCATCAAAGAATCCAGAAATAAACATTGTATAAAATTTTTTAAGGATCATGTGACACTTAAGGCTGGGATGATGACTGATACATATTCAGCTTTAAAAATACAATTTTAAAATATATTAAAATTGAAAATAGTTTCACAATATTTCACAATATTACTGTTTTTACTGTGCTTTTGAAATGCATCTTTGCATGAAATACATCGTATTGAACCTTAAGTTTTGTTTTGTATTATTTACTTTTTGGTATAAATTCAGTAAATATAAATAAAATAAAAAAGAGCAATAAAAAGCATAGACAAAGCATAAGGCTGTTGAAAACACAACATTGTGACCTCTTCTTGTGATGCATATAGAAAAATCAATAATATCAACCAGAATTGTGTTTTGAGATGACAGGATATTATAGACATGCACGCAGTGCACATGTCTTGTAATAATGCCAAGATTTCTTGAATCATCTCCAAAGTTCTTGTATCAAAGTTCAGTATATTTTGTTTTGGGATGTTGACTTTTCTACTGCCTACGTGCAATGAAATGTGCTCCCAAGTAGATGACGGGCTTCATTTACTGATTGTAAAGAAATTATTACACAAGCACAACATGTTGCATACTAATATATGTTGTGCTTTCCTGAAATTCAGCAACCAAACTAATGAGCCTAAAATCTTCTCTGGTGCTTTTCTGCAAGTCATTAATGGTGCCACTATAAAGATAAAAGCTTGGCCTGTGGATTCTGATTGGCTCTTCCGTACCATCCTACTCCACCCCCTTTAAAACACCCCCTACTCCACCCCTCACCACAGACACCCTGCACACACTTTACAGCTTTATTTTGACCTAATACAAAGCAATCTCCTGTTGCCCACATTGAATGTTTGTTATTAGGGAAAAGGATGCTTTATGAAAGACTGAAAACAACTATAATGACTGATTATAGTTATAGTGAATAATGGCTATTATTCTGAATTAACTATCCAGCCCCAACAATTTAAATAGAACATTAAATTAATTAATTATTAATATAATGCAATTAATTAATATAATACCACTAATTAATATGCGTAATATCTTTAGATATTAGATTGTCAGGACAGTATAAAACATATAAAACACATATTATACATATAAAAAACATGCAGACACTTGACAGTGATCTTAGAATAGAAACAGCAAATGTTCTTACTGAACACATTTATATTAACCCAGCACTGCGAACAAATGCAGTAATTCTCTGCTGTGTTGTTTTTTGAGTGTTAAAGGATGCAGATTCATATGGACTCAATCATTACCACATGGAAAGGGAGGGGAAATGTTGAAAAAGAACCAGAGTAGGTCCAAGGTATTGTAAGCCCTATCCGCCTCCTCTACAGGCCTATAGCAAACAGCAATGGGTGTCCTCCCTCTCTGTGTGTAAAAACACATAAATACAAACATGTTTTGACTTGAACACTGCAATTTGAACTTAATTATGCAAAAACACCCACTCTCCTATTGGCTGAAGAAAAGCTGCACATGTGAGTCTTAGTTGCTGCCACAATGTGAATGTGGTTAATCATGGTTAATCATTCATGTTTGTGATACATCTTACACATCTTTTAATTTATGGGAAAATCTTTTTATTAAAGTGGTAAGGGTACAGAAACCCTGTAATTAAATATATCATTGAATCACTCAGTCTAGAATGCAGATGGACAACCTAATAACTTTCTCCACAGTACTGTATTGTGATTGTTGGTACATTTAACCAGTTTTTACCATACTTTCAAAACAAAAATTAAAATAGGAAAAATATGCAATATGAAAATAATTGAAGACAAAATGTGTTTTACTGAGAAAAACCAAGATTTGGTTTTTAAAAAGCCTTTTTCCAAAAGGTACATCTGGAAAAAGGGGGGTCATCTTATATTCGGGCCAATACGGTAATTGCTTTTTCATTAGATGGAATGGCCTGGAGTGCCACCTAGTGTTTATTCACTATAATATATAGTTTATTCACTATAATATGGACTATATCTAAACATCAGACTTATGCTGGATGTATCAAGCAAGCTAAAATATGATTGTCAGATTTTCAGACACACTAAAAAGTAATAAATATTTTTTTAAAACTCTCTTAAAGTTAATAAATAAATATTAAAGTATTAAAGTATACAAAATTTGCTTTATTCACTCTTAATATCTTTTTACTAGTTAGATATAGATATAGATACATTGTAACGTTTTTTATTAAAAAAATAGTACACTACTGTGTGTCAAGCAATGACATATAAGTAATTAAACAAATAAAGTATTTGTTATATTTCTTAGTATTATGAAAAAACAAATATATTTTCTCTTATATATATATATAGAGAGAGAGAGAGAGAGAGAGCATATAAACTTGAGAAATGCGTACATAAACAAAGAAATACATTATGTAAATATTACTAATACATAAATATCTTGTAATATATAGTATATAATTATTGTAAGTTATGTAATATAATGCAGCATTATGTACATGTATGTTACATGTATGTACTTTGCAGGAGAAAGGCATTAATCTGACCCACATTGAGTCCCGTCCATCACGCAACAACAAAGAAGAATATGAGTTCTTCATCAGTGTGGATCAAGCCTCTTCTAAAGCTCTCGATGAAGTTGTTGACGGTCTGCGCACACAAATCAGTGGCCAAGTTCATGAGCTGTCTCGCAACAAACAGAAGGACACAGGTGAGACACAGGGCAAATGGCTGATGAATAACTCACGAGAAAAGAAATAAAACTGTTACGACATTTCAAGGTCAGACAGAAATACAACAAGAGAGCGAGAATAGGATAGCATAGAATATGAAGAACAGAAATAGAACACATGCTGTAATCGTTCATAAATGTAATTGTGGAGATGGATGACAAAGACCCTTGCACTCAGCCTCTCTTATGGTTGTTTCCAGAATTACATTAGTTTAGTTTTTGAGGACAAACAGACTCATAGAGATAGACTGAAATGTCTTGTTTCTATTCAAGAGTCAGTTCAGCAGGGTGGGGGTCAAAGTTCAATACAAAGACTGACAGACCAACAGATCCCATCACAATCTCCCCCTTATACAATAAGAAAACACAGAGCAGGGGACATTTATGGATATTTATGGCTGATGAGGAAAACCAGTCAGGGTCTTCAGTTCTTGGCCTTTTGTTCAGACCGCCTCAGGCTCGCTGTTGAACTCTGTACCAATGGCTGGACCCCCAAAGAGTTTAACTGTCATAAATCTAGCTGATATAGAGCAAGATTTAGCCTCATAGCCTGGACTGCGTTGTCACCCTCTGGCTCATTCGCCTCACAATGCTTTCTGTTTACTACTGTGTCATCCATCTCTGTTAGCATGCCAACGTTAGCGACCACAGCATTCGATATTACCAAGTTCACATATTTAGAACTTAATACATTAATCTCGTTTAAATAAAGTTTAATAAAGAGAATGGAAACACTATAGATCTCATTGAAATCTAAATCAGAAAACTCGCAAATACTTTCAATTAAAGTCTAGGGTCAAGTAATTCTGGAAGGTTTAAAGGAGGAAGGCAGCTCAGTTTTTTTTTTTTTGTTAAAGCACTTATATAATTTCTTATATTCAGAAATGTGTTATATGTGTTGCAAAGTTGTCTATAAAAGTCTTGCCTTGCCCCATAGATTTCCATTGTACATGCATTACTATACCCTTGTGAAAAAAGTGCACTGAATTGTAATGAGTGTGCACTTGTAGCATATACTTGCAGATAATGTAATATTATTGAAATAAAAGGCCACTTAATTGTACATAAAGAGAGAATACTTTCATCAGTACATTTTTAACACACTTAACTATACTTTTGAAATGTGTATTTTGTAATAATATCAAATTAAAAGTTTTACTTCTAAGTACTTTTTAAATAATTTGTCAAGTACTTTAAAAAGTACACTTATTTTAATGTGCTGACTAGCATACTAAACGTAAAGTAGCTTACTTGATAATAATTTTAACTGAAGTGTGTTATTCCGTATTAAATTTAAAGTTTATATTTTAAATATTTTAAATGTACTAAATTGCATCTTCATATTTACACATGTGTAATTATAAATATATTTAAATACATGCCATTCGGTTTCAAATGAAATTACATATAAATTACGTATATTTTAATTAAGTGTATTTTGTATAATATGTCTCCTTTAAATGGGTCAAAAAAACACACATTGTATTTCATATCAATTTGAACTATAATACATTTTTATTTAATTAAAATGCAGTTAAGTGTCTGGAAACATTATGTTCCATATATTATTTCTGTTTAGATATTTTTATTTGTAAAGTATGCTAAAATGTACTTTTTTTCACAAGGATAGACACACCATGCCAAATATGCTGTCAACAGGACATAAATTACATTGATTATATAATTACCATAAACATTCTTCCTTCTTTCCCTCTCATCAAAAGTTCCATGGTTCCCCAATGACATCCAGGACTTGGACCGTTTTGCCAATCAGATTCTCAGTTATGGGTCCGAGCTGGATGCAGACCATCCTGTAAGACACTGTGTGTGTGTGTGTGTGTTTTTGAAGTGACTGTCTGTATGATCAAAGAAAAGAGCAAAAGTGAGCATGAGAGGAAACTTCTTCATTTTTATTTCAAACGCATCCGTGTGTGGGTGTATTTTGAAAGATGCGTAGTTGGTCTATGCGACACTAAAAGCCCACAGTCAGAATCTGCATCACTCTCAATTCTAATGGAAACGGACGGGGGCTCTCAAATTGATGTCATCGCTTTAATTGAGCCCCTGTAATTATAAATAATTGCCCCTTTCCAGCCGTCATTAAACTGAAATGCATTCATCATGAGCAGCAAACACTCTACAAAGGCTTCATTTGAATGAGTCTCCTCCATGACACTGAGAAATACTGTCAAAGGCTACTGAGAGATCAGAACTAGCTCCACTTTCTTTCACACTCTAACGTCATTGTCATTCACAGGGCTTTACAGACCCCGTGTACCGCGCCAGAAGAAAGGAATTTGCTGACATTGCCTACAACTACAGACAGTAACTATTGCCCTCAGTGTTTTCTCTTTCTCCCCCACTTTCTCATGGGCTACAGGGATCATCCCCACCTCTAGTACTTTCCCTGTTGTTTTGTTGTGCATTCTATGGAAAATTACTCCTGCTGCCTAACAAAAGGGCTAAATTGCAGGGTCCCAGTGCAGTACGGAGTGTCGGGAGCTTTGTCATCATAATTGAGATGCATTATTCACACGGCCACTACAAAGGGCAGGAGCGTTGAATGCTACGCCCCCACATTTACATACACGCTCCATCAATAATAACACCACTCATCACTGATATGACAGATATGACGTACAGTGTGTCTTCAATGTGTCTCCTTTACAAAAAAACATTGTAAAAATCTGAATTATTCCAAAGTTTTGACCGGTAGTGTACATGTCTTTGCATTATAAAACAAAATATCACCGTGGAATTAATTTTTTAAAGAAAAATAGCACAAACATGTTTTTCAAGCAAAATAATTCTCAAAATAAAGTTTGTTAGGTTTGTTGGATACTGTTAAGACAAATATATTTGAACACATTGTGTCCAAAAAATGAGCTAAACCTCCCTCCTGAGATCAAATGAGCTAAATCTCCCTCCTCTTTTAGTGGACAGGTTATTCCACGTGTTGAATATACTGCTGAAGAGAAGGCCACATGGGGAACAGTTTTTAGAGAGCTGAAGTCTCTGTACGCAACGCATGCCTGTCATGAACACAACCGTGTTTTTCCACTTCTGGAGAAGTACTGTGGGTACCGTGAGGACAACATCCCGCAGCTAGAGGACGTCTCACACTACCTGCAGAGTAAGAGTGTCCTCCAGTAGAGCTGCTTTATACTCATATACAGTCGGGTGAAGGGGAAGTCAAATTGAAGGTTTAGTGTGTAATAAAAAAGAAAAGGAAAAAAAAAAAGAAAAACTAGTGTTTCACTTCTAAACTACATATCTCACCCTTTCTTGATTTCTCAGCATGCACAGGTTTCCGTCTGCGTCCTGTGGCCGGTCTCCTCTCCTCGCGTGACTTCTTAGCTGGTCTCGCCTTCCGAGTGTTTCACTCGACACAGTACATTCGCCATAGCTCCAAACCCATGTACACACCTGAACCGTGAGTATACAGACCAAGAAGTTGTTACAGCTTTGTTTGGAATAAATGTCACAAATATATGTCATAACTGTGAAAAGTGATCAAAGGGGGGGAAAAAAAAGTGGATTTGTTTCCTCAGGGACATCTGCCATGAGCTGCTGGGTCATGTCCCACTCTTTGCTGACCCAAGTTTTGCCCAGTTCTCACAGGTTTGATAATATAATATAATATAATATAATATAATATGTTTATTATATTGTTATAATGTTAATTTGAATGAAAGAAGTGAAATTTATGATATACATTTGTCATTTTGATTTTTATTCTCACAATTCTGACACTTTTTTGAATGAATTATGATATATATATATATATATATTTATAATTGTGAGAAAGAAAATTCAGAACTTCAGAAATAAGCTTCCATAGTATTATGTGGGTATCTAGAGAACATCTGCTTCAGACTTTAAATCTCTAATGTGCATTTATCAGTGACATAATATCCAAATGTGATGATGTTTCCTGTTGATCAGGAAATTGGACTCGCTTCTTTGGGCGCCCCTGATTTGTTCATAGAGAAGCTGGCTACAGTGAGTACTGCTTTAGGTTACAATAAGAATAATTTTCCACATTTGAACTGAGGTCATATTTTAAGACCACAAGGTATATTTGTCTCTCTCAGAAGGGCTGCATGATTATAATATTTATTTTTTTGCAGGTCTACTGGTTCACTGTGGAATTTGGTCTGTGCAAGGAAGGAAATGAAGTAAAGGCTTACGGTGCCGGTCTGCTCTCATCTTTTGGCGAACTGCAGGTATGTACTGTATGTGGTACCTCTCAGAATACTTCCTCCTGGTTCATGCCCTGTGCTCTAACCCAGTGTTTCCCAACCGGGGTGCCGTCTGTCGAGAGCAGGGGTGCCGTGTAAAAAATCCTTTTTTAATATTTTTAAATTGCTAAAATATTCAAAAAAGCATCTATTATATAATATCCATTTCTGATGCCGCCAATAATCAGAGATGCGCCGAAA